AGCAAGAGACTTCTTAATCTCTAACTTACAATTAAAAGATTGTGAAAAAATACACTTGATATACAATCAGAGGTGTAGATAAAATATAACATAGAAAGACTCTTTAAGACTTAAGAGTTTCTAGAATATACAAGTGTTAAGAAATTCTAAGTTAAACTTATGCTTTTTGTTTGAAACAGTAACAACTCTTTTAATGTCAATAGCTCGTTATTTTTCTTAAAGTCTTCAGCTCTTTATATAGAGATAAAGAAAAGAGTCGTTAAAGAGTTTGCACAAGAGAGTCTTTGAGAAGCTTTATTTAGAGACGTTGAAATGTTTCTTGAAATGGTTAATATCGTTGAAAGCTTATTTGAAAAACTTTTCTACAAAAGGAATTACCTGTTGCATCTCAACTGTCTTCTGCATATTTTTGCTTAACTCTTCACGTGATCAGAAGAAGACAAAATCATCGATCCTTGCGTTGGTTAGATCTTCAGTGTCTAAGTCTCTATAGGCCGACTTCACCTAGAGTCCCAGACTTCAGAATTTGTTCTTCAACTTCTGATCTTTTAAAATCTGAATCTTCAACTTCTCTTTTAAATGTCAATTCTCAGTACCAGTACTAGGTTTTATTTTCTTCTGAAATTTTAGTCTATGATCCTGCACACTTGAACATTTGTTAGTATATCCCATTGTTCTTAAAATACTTTGTTATCATCAAAACCCTAGAGATATGGTACAAACTAATTTTGTTCCAACATGGGGATCATTCACTAATTTTGTAGAAAAACATACAAAGTCTCTCTCAATCCTTACGTGAGCAAACTCTCCTTCTACTATTGTACTTTTAGCAAGTACAATTGGTGTCCATCGTTAGACCATGGTAAAACTAACATATGTCACACACACACATGCGCACACACACACACGCATATATATATATATATATATATATATATATATATATATATATATATATATATATATATATATATATATATATATATATATATATATATATATATATATATATATATATATATATATATATATATATATATATATATATATATATATATATATATATATATATATATATATATATATATATATATATATTAGTGTCACATACCATCTCAATAATCATCCTAAGATGGTACAAACACGAAGGGTCACATCAGGCGATAATAGTTTTTGCAATAATAAAATAGAATAGATGAAGTGCAAGCTATATGGACGATTGTGCAACCACAATCAAGCTTTGAAAGACAATGTTATCAACCTTTAACATTGACACGAAAAGGTCAACCTCTTAAAAGAAATTGAATTCCTGAACCCCTAGTCTCTTTCTGATACCATAAGGTCCCCCTCACTAACAAAAGTTTGATGGAAGGAGTGACCCTCATAAGCATGTCACCTCCATTAACACCTAGATGACTATCATCAGCACTAGTGACTCTATGAAGTGTAAGCTGCTTTCTAGCACCTTTAAAGGTGCCACATTGAGGTGGTACATGAACTTATCACATTTGTTAGTTACTAGTTATTGAGATCTGGTGAAGAAATTAATCCACCAATTCTCGACAAGCGAGTACATGAAGGTATCAACCACAAGTCTTTTCAACGTCCTTAAAGGGCCCTCTAATTCATTAAGGGAACGTTTCTTTGATTTTTACAAGGCACCATTAGAGTCATACACCCAAACCAAGAGATATTCGTATGGGAACTCTAGAACGATTATGGGTTGGTCACTTCAACAAATCCCTCTCCCATAAGCTAATGCAAAAAAAAAAAAAAATTGTTGTTGATTATAATACTTGATAAAATATATTTTCTATTTGTGTTTTGGAAAAGAAATTTATGAATAGATTAAACATGTTCATTTATGTTTTTCTAGCAGTTTGATAGATTAGGTTTTATGTCCCTTATTCTCTTTTTTTTCCTTTTTTATTCAATAATTTGTTTCTATAAAAAAATGATAATGATAAATTCATATACTTGATTTTATATATATATATATATATATATATATATATATATATATATATATATATATATATATATATATATATATATATATATATATATATATATATATATATATATATATATATATATATATATATATATATATATATATATATATATATATATATATATATATATATATATATATATATATATATATATATATATATATATATATTAAGAAAAAGATGGGTATTAGGCATTGCCATATGAGAAATTACCAAAGTGCATTTCACCATCAAGTCAATTGCCCATTATAATTCATTACGCAAAAAGAGGGAATAGTGTGAATAGGCTACCAAAATATGATGATAAAGTTTGGTATGTTTGAAATAACCTATAACCATTAGCTATACCAATAATATAATAACTAGTGATATATTTTTGTTTTACCATCCAATATCCAAATAAAAAAGACAAGAGTAATACCCAAAATGATCCAAATAAAAAAGACAAGAGTAATACCCAATCCTTGCTTCACCAACAACGATTTTTTTTAAATAACCATCTTTAATTTATTTACTAAAATAGTCGTCTTTTTAAATAAATTATTAAAATAATTATTTTTTAAATAAAAAAATTAGAGTCGCTATTTAAATTGAAACATGCACTATAAAATTGTACATAAGTGCTAATATGAATGATACATGTTTCTAGTGACAATAAAAAACGTAGGTAAAAATCAATTTTTTTATCTGAACAATTTATATCTACAGTAATTTGCCGTAGGTTACAACAAATTATATATTAAGATTTTTACTTACGGTAAAGTGTTACGGTAAAGTGCTGTAGATATAAGTGAGTCATAATATACTTATGTTTTTTATTATTACTATAAATATGCGTCATTTTAATTGAGGACTATGTACAATTTTATATTGCATGTGCTAATTTGATTGACAAATTTAATTTTGTTTGTTTGAAAAGTGATTCTTTAATAATTTATTTGAAAGATGGTTATTTTGATATATAAATTAAAAGATATGGTTATTTTATAAAAAAATTCACCAATAACATAGTAATCATGAGAAAGTTTAGAAGGACATTCATTTCAAATAAAAACAATTTAATTTATGTCAACTATATGATCATCATCACCATTTACTTTATGAAGTGACCATGTTTCATATATTAAAATATGATTGTACTAAAAAGAATAAATCTAATATTGAATTTAAAATACAATTCAATCTAATTTATTTATTTTGATTATCAATTTTATTTAAATATTTATTTTTATATTTTCTTTGTTTAAACCTAAAAATAAACAAAGTTTTATTTTAGTTCTTACTACTAGGTCATTTTTAAATTGTACAATAATTTAATAAAAATAATTACAGTATATACTTTTTGCTTTTTCTTATAAAGTTTAATCATAAGATTGTACTTCTTCCATTTTCAAATGAATATTACTTTATCAAAAAAAAAATTGTTTCAAAATAAATCTTATTTTAAATTTTAATATAAAATTAAATATTTTTACTTTAATTTATACTCTCTATTTAACAATATATTTATGGATCAATTTAAAATAAACATTTAAATCTGACTTAAAAACTATTGAAACGTGTGTACTAAGATACGTTCGAAAATATATTCAAAAATTCGGACATTTTAAAAATTATGTATGATGCCTAAAAAATATATAGAGCGTAATAAAAATGCTCAAACATATTGAATGTAATTGAGCTTTAAAATTTCTCTTTATTCGTTAACACAAATTTTAGACTCTGTTTGTTCAGTAAAAACGTTTTCAATTTTTATTTTTTAATAATAAATATTTATTTTAACCTATTAATGAAAATATTGTAGATACTTAAAGTGAATAATTATGACCATTTTTAGAAACATTGAAAGTGTTACAAACTTGTTTTCTATTATTTCCAAAAATAGATCATCACAAACTTGCATTTCATCCTCTATCACAACTTTGATATTATCACATTCAACAATTATTTTTCTTCTTCAAGTGATCTTCAACAATGGTGATATTATCACATTCAAGCAACATCTTACAACAGAGATCACTTGCAAATTGAAGCTCTAAATAAGCTCCCAGCTTTATTTTTCAACTTGGTCCCCAACTCTATTTTAATTTAATGTTATATTTTATATATACTTCAAATTATATTCTCTAATAAACTGAAATTTCTCAATTTTATTCGACTTGTTTCATATCAATTTGTTTTTTTTTGTTAAAAATGATTTTTATAATGGAACATAATTTATTATAAAAAAAATTATTAAAAACTTTTTCATAAAAATTTAAAATTAAAATCTGATTTAAATAATTATTCTTAAAATATTATTTTAGATATTTTATCGTTTTATTAAATTTTTTTGATATCAAAATTTCAAAAAATCACTTAAGTTTAAAATTATTTCAATTAGTTTTTTAAAATCATTTTTGAAATACAATTTTTTGAAAAAATTGTGATTTAGACTATATTTTTATCTTTAATAATATATGTTTATATTATCTAATGTCAAAATTAGTGTTTCAATTTAGAAAAAACAAATATAAAAAAATTTGAAATATTTAAAAAAAACAATTTTATAAAATCTATTTTTTTAAAATACAAAGAAAAAATCCATTTTTTTAAAGCCGAAACAAATAGACCCATGATAGAATGAAGGTGGAAGATAGTAAAACTCAGACCGACACAAAAGATCCAACCAAAGAAGAAAAAAAAGTAATTTCATACGAATACACATACACACACAAAAATACATGAAAAACATATGCAAAAAACGATTTTTCTTTGATTGTAACACTCTAAAATATTCTTAGCATGGAAGATTTTCCGATCCAACACTCGATCTTAACTACATTGGTTATACCAACTACAATACATTTGAGTCAACATATTCAATTGATTGATATAAAAGACATTATTACAAGATTCAAATATGTTAAGTCAATATAAGCTAAACAAACAAGCAGTTCTGAATCAAATCGAGAGAAGGAAGAAGATTACCAACAAGTTGAATCATCATCCACCACTTATCGGAGGTATAATGGCCAACTCATCCTTGTCTTTAACAATGGTTGAATCCATTGCATACTCCTCATTCAGAGCTAGAACCATGCATCCTTGTATTTCTTCCAAACGTGGAAATTGAACTAGAAGCTTTTTCAAACAATCTTGAGTAGTACTCCCAGATGACACTTCCAATGGTACCTCAGTCAAGCCAGTAAGATCACGCGCTCGTGCGAAAAACAGAACTTTTATCTTCACCAAAGAACTGTCTTTTTTGGTTTGAGTTTCGTCTCCTTCCCAAATACTAACATTTGCTTCCGTCATATTTATAAGCGGCTATCGACAAAGTAGTTGATGTAATGTTGCAACACTTGTTTTCAACGAACCTTCGCAACATTCAACATGATTACAAGAATCTATTATCATTATTTATTCATTCAATGCTAACAATAAATCAGTTCAAACAACTTATCTATCTAAATCAATTATCTCCAGACATCAAAAAATTCGAAATGAAAACATAACTAATAAAATAACAGATATCATGATTCGAGAGCAATCATGTTTTGAAAGCAGAAAGACTCATGTCAGTTTCTAATAAAACAATGTTGTCAATCACATATTGCAGAAAATAGCAGTCTGCTACGATGCTTTAGTGGCCCGATATCGGTAATTTGACAAATGACAACACTCTATACCAAATCGCATATCACGGGACAACAGCAGTTTGCCCAAAGAAACAATAAAACACCATGACACCACCATCTTTTACAAGTTGGCCGTGGTGGTTGAAAAAAAATCCACAACTGTTGCCCGCAATAGCCGAATTTGACAAAACAACAGCATGAATTGAAGATAAACAACCTTGATTTAAACAAAAATCTGACATCTATTGATAAACAGTCAAAATCTGAAAATTTCACGGTTGAAAGCCTCATGTCATAGATTTCTATTGAAAGTGTTGTCTATAGATGAATAAGAAAAATAATATTCTCTCCGAAATGAAATATAAGAAAAAAAATATCTAAAAAGTTGATGGATCTAGCCTCAATTTTTAACTAGATACATCAACTTTTCACACACCACTTTTGCTTATATTTCATTCCGGAGAGAATAAATTGTTCAAAATCTATTATCCAAGAGCATTTTAGTGCCGTTATAGCAATCTATAACCGCAATTTGACCGCAATGTTACAAAATACTACTCAAATTTACTGTATGTTGGTTTAACTTTTCTAAAAACCAAAAGCAATTTTATAGGTGTAGCATTGATTTTGAAAAATGTTCCTAAAAAAGTTGATTTATCTGAACTTAATTTTTTAATTAGACAACTTTCCACGTATCATTTTTGCTTAAATTTCATTCTACAAGCAATAACTTAATAATAATAATAAAAAAATCCCAAATCAGATGCATACAAAACCTAAAATTTAGAACAAAATGAAGACAATTGAGGCAATTGAAGAATTTGAAGGTAATTGAAGAATTTGAGGCAATTGAAGAATTTAGAACAAAAGCATTACAAAAAGGTTCTAACAAACTATGAACATAATTTGAGGCAATTGAAGAATTTGAAGCATAATAACCGTTTGGTGATGCAACATAAATAGCAGAAATTGAATACAAACAAAATCTAACAATGAAACAGATCTGCAATGAAATTGACTTACGGTGGATGCCGTCAATCGCGGAGTCGCAGTTCCGCGTGGACTCTGCCGCGACGGAATTCACCGGAAAGGACTGAGCTTTTTGAAAGTTTCTGAGAGTTGGTTTTACAAGATTTTGGAAGATAAGACTTTAATGGTGATATTTTTAAAAAATTTTAAAAACAATATATTATATTTACTTATAAAATTATATAATAAAAATAATTTTTTTATGAAAATTATTTATGAAAATGAAAATAATTTTTTTTAGGAATCTACCTTTTATTATGAGTAGAAATTAAACTTCAAAATTATTACACTCTCACTCAATACAGATCAACTACTTCTACAAGACTAGTAACTAATGAATAGTTTTCTCAATCATGATATAACTTCCTAAAGTTTTTTTTTGTATTTTTCATTGACTTTGATGATCAAAGGGAAATGGACCTATAAAAGCAGAGTTCAAATGCCAAATTTTGATAGAGACTTTGATGTTAATGTTAGTTGCATTGTTGAATAGAAATAATCTTGAAGCTCCATATATTGCTTCTGTTGGATAAACTCTACTTGAGATTACTCTTCTTCCTCCTTGAGCAAAGCTCTCAATAATTGAATGGTCAACCTAATCACATTAATAACAAAATTATTCTCAATTCTCACTATTAAAAACTATAATTCAACGACTAAATGTAAAATAATAGCAATATGATTATATATAAGTCTAAGTAAATTGAATTAACACGATATTTGGATTGATAATCACACTCCTCATAACTAGGTTAATAACGGTCGCGATCGCGGAAAGGTTTTCATGATTTCGATCGGTACATGGGCTACGATACTGATTGCAGTGTGAATTAGCCACAATTTATTCTTTAGCATGGAAAACGGTGATAATAATATCGACATGTCAAAACCGTTTTGTCGCAACCTTTTCGCGATCGCTGACAATTTTTTAAACCCTGCTTGTAAATGTTATAAGTAAAATTTATTTTTTTTTATTCATCAAACAGATAATGTATTTGATTTGTATATAAACTAGATACATTTGGTTTTTCAATAAACTAAAAAAAAAATTACTTAAAATATTAATCAAAAAGTATAACTCAGTATTTATGCCTAGGGTGAAAAACAAACATGTTCGCCCTGTTTAACTATATTGTGCAAAAAAAATTAATGGGACGGACAAATATAATTGAGGATGTGGACCTAAAACTTTTTCCGTCTTGCAAAACAGTGAGGATAGGACGGACTAGACATGCTGATTTTACATTCCTAAAGACTAAAAGTTGTAAAAATTCTTGTCAATGTCTGCACTCGTAATAATCCGAAAAAATCAGGAGGGGACGAAATGCTTATATTAGAGGATGCAAATCTAAAATATTGGTTTATCTAACGAAAAAACATGGGAAAAATGAGTGTGTTTGAGAAACATGTCCGTTTGTCACCCCTAATTTTTGCGCAACTAATTTTGAAGAGCAAAAGTACAACAAGAGTGTGTGATTGACACCTACCAATACTCTCATGGACAATTTTTCATCACTGAAGACTGGAACTTTGCTACCATAAACTGGTTTTGCAACCTCAGAAGCCTTTGATGATCTGCATCAATACAATAACTCATTTCTAATAGTCAAACAACAATTCATCCATGAAATTATAACCTTGTTCAAATGTATATTTCATTCAGATTCTTACCTTGTTTCATCAACACAGAAGAAAGTGGTTGAACAACCAAGGCTAGTATTAGATATGCTAAAATAAACTGGAGTTTGTTCGGAAAGTGTGTCATCTGCAATAGCTATAATTCCAAATGGTCCAAAAGCACTTCTTTCAAAAGCACCTCCTCCACAATCTATATTATCATTGCTAATATTTCCTTCTGATATCAATGACTCAATCTCAAATACAGCAAATATATCCAACTGTAAAAAACAATATCGTTAAATTTTATAAGTAACCTACGAAGCACAAACACTGACATTAGACAATGACATTGATATTAAACATGACACTGACATTAATACGTCGATATTCTGTAATAATTTAAAAAGATAAATAAATTCAATGTAATCATAAATGTCAGTGTTGTGTCAGCGTTGGTGTCCGGCAATTACAGACACAACATAAACACAGACACACCTTTTTTCGAGAGACAATAATATAGACAAAACTAACCTGTGTTGCTTGAGTAATGTTCAATGGAACAACAGAGCCAGGTGTAATCACTACTCCTTCATATTCATCACTGCTTATTCTTAAGCTCTCTATTTCTTCTATTGGCCATAAAACCAAATTACTTATAGTCTTCTTGTCAAACAAAACCGTTCTTGGAATTGTCTGAAAAGGAAGAAAAGTTATGAACAAGATTCTATGAAATACATATTAAATACTTCAAAATTAATATCTTAATACAGTTCAGTTAATAGCTGCGTATAAACGATAAGAGACATGTCTGTCCTCTCATACCTGAAGTGATGCCCAACCTTTTTTCAAATCATCACTTGCACTGTCAGTTTCATTAATCCAACCATACAAAATCCTTCGTTTCTTCACTTGATCATAAAATGTTTTTGAAGCATAGTATCTTCCATAGTCCAAAAGAAGCCCAATACCTACATCCTCATTAGGATTATCAGGCACCCATGTATCATTTTCAATTAAATAAGTTCCAATTGCATAACAATCAATTTTTCTGTCATTCATACTAGCCTTTAGTACATGCTTAACTTCCGGTCCATTTACCGATGTGTCCAAACCATTTGGCCCGTTTATCGAAATTGGGTAAAAGTCAACACATTCCCACATACCCGTACTTGGGACTGCGTGTAAGTAGTTATCGTTCAGTTCAAAATATGTAAAATTTGTCGTCTTGTAAACAAATGCAAGACCCGTTTTTTCTTTCTTCGACCCAATTACGACCCTCCATTTTTTATCGGGCCCGATCCAACTTGTGGCTGGATCGCGAAAATTCTTCAACCCAATGCCAGGTGGGGGCTCAATGACGGGGTTATCAGCGTATTTAACCCAGTCAAGAAGAAGTGGATCAGATAAGTTGGCTGGATAAGCAAGATTTTGAACTTGCACGTAGTTATTCGTATCGCCCGTGTAAAGCATTATGATTTCGCCATTTGGCAAAAGTGTGGCGGATCCGGTCCATACACCGTTTATATCGAACCACTTGTCGGGTTCCATAGCAATGGGAAGGTAGAACCAATGGATCATGTCCTTTGATACAGCATGACCCCATGTAATGTTGCCCCAAATAGCTGAATCTGGATTGTATTGGTAAAATAAATGGTACCATCCCATGTGAAACAATGGACCTGCAACATGCAGTGCAATACATCACAATCAAAATTTGATAAATTTTTTACTATTTAATTAACTTTTTTTAACAAATTCTTTTTAAATCAATCATTTTTAACAATGGTACCTTTCTTCTGTTGTTAAGAGAATTATAAAATAGTATGAGTTTTTCACTAAGTATTTTAGAAAGAAAAAATAGAAATAGATCCATAAAAAAAATTTACAAAATAACAAATAAATAAAAGAATAAACGTACCGTCGGGGTCTATGCCAAGTTAGTCAAATAACCACATGAAACCAAAACCAAAATAACGAAACAAAATTGATTAGTCTCATAACCAAATTTAGTAATCTTAGAATAAAAAATTAAAGGAAGATAAAATAAAAATTGAAAATAGTAATGTTAACCATATATCTAAATTTGACCACCTACCATTCAATGAAAGATACTAAAATGACATATAAAATTCAAACTTGCATATAACAAACAATTTTTTCGATTTCAGCAGTGGACTGGTCTAACATAAAAATTGATATAACTTAACAGAATTCGAATCTGAGACTTTAAAAAAATATATTCTGAAGATTCAAACCTCCACCACTAAACCAGCATAAGAGTTTAGATTATTCAGTTAAAATTCAACAATGTGTACAGGAAAAAAATAAGGTAGACTTACCATTCATCCAATTCTTTTGAGGTTGAAAATGAAAAGCTGTTCTTTGCCAAGAAAACATAGCATCTGTCCAATTGTATGAAACTTTATGAAAATCATATGAAATGTTAGCAAAAGGACTGATATTTTCCAATTTTTCCAATGGATTTTGGGTTTGGTTTATGATGAAGATAAGTGCAAGCATTGACATTAGGAATAGAATGGAACCAAATGTGACAAAGATAAGATATGGTGGTTTTTGAGTACTTTTCAGCAATGGAGTGTGCAAAGTATTGGAAATATTGGGCTTCATTTTCAGTGATGTTGTGATGTGATTTGAGTTTGAGGGTTGCAATATTGTTAAAATAAGAAGGATGGTGTGTACTTGGAATGGTAAGTGTGTGAATGTTGGATTGGAATGGTGGTTCCAAAATTTAGAAGTGGAAAAAGAAAGACATAGAATGATGGCATGTTTATGTTTTTGAAGAAATAAAGGCTTGGAGATGGAACCATAGAATGATAATTAATTTTCAAAATATTGGAATATAACATATATTTTTATAAATTATTTAAATTATTTTTATTAATTAATTAATGTTGATGAATATTGACTCACCGGATAAAAAATTGATAAACATAAAGAGTTTATTTTAATCTTCTTGTTTAGTCTTGATGAATATCTCAATCTCAAAACTTCTTATAATAAAAATCGGTTAATCAATTATGAGATAGTTTAATTGATATGTGTTAATTGAGTTAAATGAATATAAACTGAGACGAAATTTATTTATATTTATATGTTAATATAAATAAATTTAAAAATTAACAATTAAAAAAACTAATTATTTATATTTATGTATTAATATAAACAAATTCAAAAACGACAACTTAAAAAAATAATCAATGAATGAATAATATTTTATTTTCATGTCAAAAATGGATTTTAACATTTATATATGTTTATTAGGTAAGGAATATAAAATATTTAATATTATTTCTTCCGATGATGTGAAGTTAATATTTAATATTTACTTTTTATATAATTATAAATATTTATGGTAAATAAAAGGAAATTGTAGTTATTTAAGAAATTTTATTTAATTATAATAATTATAAAAAAATTAATATGAAATATTAATAGTTATTACCATTTGTAGATTTTGTGTTTTTTTATAAAAGACAGAAACCGTCAAAAACAAGAAAGTGGAACAGTAAAAGAATCATGAATTTGTTCTTGAAGAAAACTTATATGTAATTATTTTAGTGTGGTTTTTATTATTTTTAAATAAAAATATGACAAGCTTATAATTTCTTCTTATACTATGCAATTTACTCCTATAAATTCAATATACATTTTCTAGAATGATTCACAAATTCAATTCTAATTAAAATGATATAAAATATATAATATATATTAATGACATCCAAAGTACATATAAATAAAAAAAATAACATAGGAATTCTCCTTAACAATATTCAATTCTTCATAAAGAATATGAATTAAATAATAATAATTTATAGAAAGAGAAAAAAACAGATTTTGAATAAGTCTTCTTCACATATATAATTATGAGCCATTAATTTACAGCTACCACAAAAACTTGGACAAAACAAAACTTGGTGAAAAAGTTATTCCTATCTTGAAAGGTCTTCTTCAGAACTTAATTCTGCTCCAATAAGCCCTTGAAATGTTCTCAACCAAACCCAAAATCAGAATCTGTCACTAATATATAGTATAGTATAGAGCTTATTCTTCTCTATACATTATTCTAAAGAGTTTGATTTCCATGCCACAAGTGACTTGAGAAATTCCATCACCTGCACATACAACATTTATGATGGAACTTATAGATAGAGCTTATGATATGTTCGGAAGTTGTTTGCAACTTATTTTCGTAAGTTCTCTGAGATAGATTATGAAAACAAGAATTACCTCAGAAGGATCACAAAGAGAGTAATCCGCGTTGCTTTCTTTAGGCGCAGAAGAAACTAAGATTCCGAAACCTTTGTTAACCTCACTCAAAACCTGTTACAGTTTATTTTATATATCAGTATAATAATAAGAAAATACATAAACTAAGTAAAAAAAAATGAAGAACATGCATTTTTAGTATATAGCATCATAAAAAACATTTAACCTTAAATGCATCTTCATCTGTCCGATCATCCCCGATATATATAGCTAGAACATCGTCATCATCGTTAAGTCCTAAATAAAAACACATCTAATGTCATTTACTGAAAAAAAACAAATTCTGATCATTGAATACACGGTAACCGTTAAATTGAATAATCAACAAATGAACTCACCAAGTGATTCTAGCAAAAATGTGACAGCTTTTCCCTTATCCCAATCAATCACCGGTCGAACCTCTAACACCTGCATATTATCAGTAAACATATGTTACTGAGTTCTATAACAGATATGATTCTTAACAAGAACATGAAAAATGAGTAAAAAAGTTTAGGTTTAGAACTAAAATAGTACCTTCCGACCATGAGTTAATCGTAAATGTGGATAGTCTTTCATTATATCATAAACGCGTTGTGCCACCAAATCCCAATTCTGTACAATATACGAAACAAAATATTATAACGCCTATTCATTCATTAATATTAACAAAATATTCTACAAAAATAACAATTTAAAACGAATAGATGGAGTAGTAAGCAGTACCTCTTCGTCCACATTACGATAATGTACAGAGACACAAAACTTATTATTCTCAATTTTTGCTCCTTTGATGTCTCTTATACACTCAACGAGCAACATCCGTACCTGAATAAACATGAGCCAATCAAAATCTATGAAGCACTTACACAGACACCAAATATGACGCTAACACTGACACGTTGACATTGATATAATTTTTTTAAAAATAAAATATTTTAATACAACTATATAAGTTAGTGTTGAACATCAGACACGTCTTCGATGTGAAGTGTCGGTGTTACATAGAAAAGGATAACACGTACCTCATCAATCATAGGCAGGAAATCAGCAGCAGGTTGGAATAAATTAACTTCCTTACCCTGTCATTTTAGAAGATTATAAATCAATATATAGGCGCTTTACAACGATACTTCTCGAACAAGAAAGACAAAATGAAGTAAGATCAGAAACATATGCTAGATAGAAACCTTGAATCGAAGACTAGTACCTTTTTATCCGTGGATCTAATGCAATTCGGGTGATTATCAGATACCGATTCTCTAAGAGGGCCAATAATGTCCATTCCATGACTACCAGCATAATGGAGTTCTGTCAATCCAACAAATTCATGTACCTGAGGAGATAACGTGCAACAAAAAGTCGGAATCAAAACCCGGAACAAACATTTAAAATATAAATTCGGGGAAAAAATATTCCTATACCAGAGGGGATTTGAACTTTGTCCCTTGAAGTTACAAGGTTAAGCTCTTATCACCGAGCTAGTACAAACATGGAAGTTTGTTATTTGCATTTTGCTATATACAGATTTTACTAAATATAGAAGAGAAAAATTTTAACTACCTTTTCACGACTTCTTCCGCTAATTATTGCGGTTGGAAAATACTCTGCCACGCTTTTAACAGCGGCACGCATCTGCATTTGTTTACATATCATAATCAGCTAAATCAAAACAAGAGAAAAAAAACACATTTGAAACATTTTGCTAAATATAGCATACCTTGTCGGACATGTAAGCTCGGTCTGGATTGTCAACAATAGGCGAAAGAGTTCCATCATAATCGAGAAACAATGCTATTTTCTTGCCTTTTGCACAATTAGTAATTTGCTCAAAAGACGAAAGTGCAGATGGAAACTCTAGCTGTGAAAATTATAAAACAGAAACAATTAACTGACATTGCACTTTCACCCTAAATTGCATAGAGGGTAGTTCGCGGTTTATACCAGCCAGGTTAAATAAGCAGCATCGGCTTCCGAAGACGGGACACCATGACCAACATCCATAGATATTTTCTTATGAGTCGGCGAAGATGATCTCATTGCATCGAGCCAACCATTAGAACGAACATCGTCAAGAACTCCTATCTTCTTCCTCGGAATAGTTAGCGACGGACCGTGGAGAAAAGTCGAACCACCTGTAGGAGAGCAAGACAGAGTCGAAGGCGTGCCGAGCCTTGACCTTGTCCTTGTTAACGTTGCAGTTTCAGCAAGGAGAGATGTATGATTTGCCTTCAGTTCCATTGGATCCAGATCTATAGACAATTTTACAAAACAGCAACAATGTAAGATCATCATAAAATTAGAGCAAAGTTCATGAAAATCGTAGCTCCTAAACGCATTGAGCATGTACCTAATGTACCTAATTTTGACTTGACCCCAATAAAGTTGGAAGTTAATGTTGACTCTGCATATGCATTATTCAATAGGTAGAATTGGCCACGTTACAATCTCAAGTAACCATTATTATATATAAAATACAACAAACTTTTTCAAAACTTGGTTTGGTATTCTCCTTTAAAATAATCAAACACCGGCGCGTTCGAACCGAAGAAATTTCAACCAATAAACAACTTAAAAAAATAATCACAACAAACTACCGGCTTTCATAGAGTTCGAACAAATGAAATTTCAACCAATAAACGACTTAAAAAAATAATCACAACAAACATTACACATTGAAAGCCAAACTTCATAATCGCAAACCAGAAGATCACTGAACATAAAGGAAATAGTACCTGATTTACCAGCTTCAATTCCAGGTACTTCAAAAAATTTGAGTTCGCAATGCAAGTTCAAAATTTGCTACAAAAGGTTAATATTGGAAATAAATAAATAATAACGGTTTGTTGCAGGAAAAAAATGAAAATAAAAAGGAGATAGAAAATAAACATACAGAGAAGAAGAAGAATGAAAGAGAATAAGAGAAGAGGAATTGGGGGGAGAAAGGAGAGGGTATTTATAAGGGGGAGTTTGGTGATTACCTAACGTGTATTACATGGAAACTACCTTTTTCGCGCTGGTTGACCATTTACAAACTAAACACCTAACTTTTAAATTTTAAATTATTACTAATTTTATATATAAAAAGTTTTATACTGTTATCTAATAAAAATATATCATTCTTTCAAAAAATTATACAACGTGGTCCACCAGATCTTAAACGAGATTTTTTATATCATTTTAAAAAATTATAGTTGAACCTAACTCAACCATATAAAATCAATTGGTAGAGTGAGAATTGTCTTCACTTATAAATACATGTTGATGCCATATATTATCCGACGTGAGACTCTTAACGAGATCAATACTTAATTATTTATTATTATTTTTTTAGAAACATGGTGTGACACTAATAATATAAATTCAAGTTTTTTAAGCATGTGGTTGGAAGTGATAAGTTGTTGGTGACGGCTTATAAAAACATGGCATAAGCGATGATGAGATTATAAAAGCTCTTTACAATTCTTTATTACAATAAATTGATAAGTTTATTTTTTTTAATTATATGTAATTTTTATATATTTAAAAAATATAATTAATTTTATATAAAAATAAGAAATTATAAAAAGATATGATAATGGCACACAAGAGTAACACGGTTCCACATCAGTGTGGCGTGTTGTCCAATCACCAAAGTTGAAAGTTTTGTACCGAAGCTATTGTCTTTCACTCTTTCTCTCTGTCCCAGAATGAAACTGCTTTCTTTTCCTAGAATAAAAATAACTTGATGTTGACCATAAGAGGAAACTAATTGTATTGAAATGCATTAATAAATTATTTAAGGTTTGTCGGTTAAATATTACTACATTTTATTGAATTTAATTAATAGCTATATTGCTTTTTTAGTAACTTATTATGACATGGGTACCTATATATAGAGAAAACAATGGGTGGATTGTGCCCGAAAAATGAAAAAGAGAAAACAATGGGTAGAGACTTGGAGTTAGGACTATAGTCTTTGTCTTTGTAGATGTGATTTGGAAATGTAGGTGTTCAAAAGCCCATAAAAAAATTTAAGAAAAAATTAATATTAAATATAATTTGAAATTTGGAAATTTATTAATATATCCTATGTATTGATTATACACCATGCAAAAATATAAAAATGTTCATGCATTTTTGAATGTATCATTCACCAACTCTATGACGCATCAAATGAGTGTCGTTCTATATGAATATTTAAGAAAATTTCGGAGATACATCTTTGATATTTTTAATAAATATCTTCATAGTTGATCAGTCCAGTAGATATTTCGGAAATGTATCTTCGAAAATTTGGAGTGAGATTTTGAAATTTGTTCTCACCTTTACATGTCAGGTTTTTTCAGAGATACGTCTCTGGAATAATTTGATAAAAAGATAGAATTGTATGATTACACGACCATACTTATTTTTCACTCAAAACCTCACCAAAAACCCTTTCATTCTTAGTCTATAGTTTCATTTCAAATCTCCAATCTTGTTGTTCATCACATCAAAGGTAGCAAAAGAAGTTGGAATTCCAGGTAAAAATGATTTATTTCAAGCCTCGTTGCTCAGATTAATCTTGTTTTTTGTCTGAAAAAACTAGCGTCTGTTCCAGAAATGCATTTCCGAAACGAGTATGAACTTACCTAGAAATGCATTTTCGATATCTATCTGTGTTCATTTTTTAGTTTTGTTTTCAGCATTAGCATTTATTTACTATTTTATGGTGTTTGTTTTTATTAAATATGGTGAACCCTGGTGTTTTCCTCAAACAAGTTATATCTCCCATTGCTAAAGGTGTTATTGTGAAAGAGGTAATTGTTGGCAAGCAATTTTAAAATGTGCAAGAGTTTGAATCTCATAATCACGTGATTTAATGGATATGTACGGAGGTCTCCAAACTACGATTTGGTTTGGTTATTGGAAGGTTCGATAATGGTTCAGATAGAAGACGTGTTTTTGCGGTAATGACATGCGAAATAAGCGGGAAATATAGACCTCGTCTACGAAATATTAAATGAGATGACACCGGTTCAAGAATATGTGAGTGTTCCTTTAAGGTTTGTGGTTATATGTTGGTAAACAAAAATTAGAAATTTAATGTCATATGTAGTTTGCATAACCATGATTTGCGTGAAAAGCTAGTCGTCCATCCAATTATGTGTCGGCTCATGCCTAAAGAGAAAGAATGTGTTGCTGATATGACAATGAATTTGGTCAAACCAAAAAAAATATACTTGCAACAATGATACGAAAAAGACCCGAAAATATCTCAAATATCAAGCAAGTATACAATATTTGGTACCAAACTAACAAGGCGTTTAGGGGGGACAGAACTGAAATGCAATAACTCTTGAAACTATTGGATGATAACAGTTATGTGTCTAGGTACGGAACGTGCGAGAATGGAGTTACCGTTAGATATATTTTGGACTCATCTCGATTCCATCAAGTTGTTCGACATGTTTTCTACTGTGTTCATACTTGATTCAATCTACAAGACCAACAAGTATATACTTCCATTATTGAAGGTGGTTGGGGTTACCCCTACTAAGAAGATCTATTATGTCGGGTTTGCATTTCTAGAGAGTGAAAAAATAAGAGAATGATACTTGGGCCTTAGAGGTGTTTCAGGCACTATTGAAGGACCAAGAAGAGATGCCTAAAGTGATTGTTACTGACCGCAATATCGCCTTGATGAGTTGCAAATGTATTTCCTACTTCTTACGCATTAATTTGTAGGTATCACATAATAAAGAATGTGAGAAATCGGATTAAACACGCAGTAGAGACGAAACAAATAGAGTCAGAAGATGGAAAAATGCTAAAGGTGAGTGTGGTTGTGGAAAAAAATGGATACTTGGAATCTTAGAGTAAATTCTTCTACTAAAGAATTATATGCCGACTCCGTTATGCATTTCAGGAAAGTGTGTGAAAAGTATCATGATATGTTGAAATATGTTAAAAGCAAAATTCTTGACCAGGTGAAGGAGAAAATTATACGTGCTTGGACATATCAAGTTAATTGTGAGATTGGAATGATCCACACCACAAGTAATATGAGAAATAAACTCAAATAATTACCAAATAATATTTGTCTCGAAAATCCACATGAACTAAATAAATCCATTATTGTTGAACATTTTGCCTAAATTTGTTACCATATGCAAATGTCAATGAATGACCTAAATACATGATCAAATAGACAAATGTATGCAAATGAACAAAACTATAAGCCAGTCGAATTGAATGACAAAAATAGGGAAAATTTTGGAGTATGACATATATTCTCGAATACTTTTAATTAAAATAAAAATATGCAATAATCATATTTAACCAACAAGGGTAGCCTGTACAGTTTAGGAATGGGTTTTGATTGATAAAAAAGAATAATCTACTTCAATCGATATGTCGTTAGGCATGGTCATACATGACATAGAAATAACACTACTAGAGTGCCCTGATATATGCATTTAATATGAGTTTCATTTTGCCAATCCCGAAAATCTTCTGACCATTATGGATTTTAAAATAATAACATACGAATTAAACTGCCAAGATATCAGTATCTTTGGTTTGATAGTCAGGAAGCGAAACAACTAGATTGTCTCTACCTAGTAAGGCATTGTACGCCACCAAAAAGCAATAACCTTGCAAATAAGAATATTAAACTAAAAAATAAAGTCTCGCTTGCACCGGTCAACTACAATCCTAACCTTGCCTCGACATCCTTCTCGCTTCAGCGGCGTGCAGAAGTGTAAAACCCAATCACCCAAAAAGCATTAGTTCTCACTAAATAGGATAATAAGATAACTCTCCAGGAATTTGAAAGGCTACCTTTGAAACACCTACTGGCATAAAAAAATGATGGAGTTATCTGGCACCAACATGTTACTTTGATGTAAAATTGTGTAGAGACATAATGAGTTTATTTTGTTAAAAAAAATTATTTCGCCAAATAACATTAAAAAAAAACAAGCCTAAATGAATAAAGTAAAGCTTTTATGAATAGGTCATTATTGGATATGTCTCTAGTGTTATTATTGTTGCGTGTTACTGGAGGACTAATGAATTAAATTCTGGAAAATTAAATTCAAGAAGGGATTCTAACAAAAAGGATCTTCGACAACAAAAAAAAAACTATGCTCGGGCGATTGTTTACCAAAAATAGTGAACAAGATCGGTACATGGCGAGTGGAACGGTTCATCAAGCCATTTCTTGCCAACCTTATTCCTAATGAAAACCCCAAATATGCAGCTGAGGCATCCTAACA